GTGAGCCATATTATTTTGATAATAATGCATTCTTGAATAATGTATTGATAGGAAATGTGTGGTTAAAAAATAATTTTTTTATTTGCCTGTAATATTGTTTTATTGAAAAATGTGTGATTGAAATGATGTCAAAGTATTGTTTAAAAATACATTTTTTTAAAATATAATTTGGCTCAAACAAGCACTCACTATAATTTGCAAAACAAGAGACTTGCACTTGTAGGTGCATTATATTTCTTATCATATATTAGAAAAAATGTTATACATCATTCAAGCCATCATATCAACTTTAAGATAGATTTTCACCTCTAGCCATAGGTGATGACAAGGAAATAGCTCGAGTCCTAGAATTCAGGAGGAGTTTTTCAAAATGAGATCCGACATAGTATTAAGCGTTGTAAAAATCATATTTTAAAGTGACGTACAACTTTTGTTGTGCCGTATCACTATATCATGTCATATAATTCAACGTATGAAAGACTTGGTTGTTCGGATATTAATTTCTGAGTATCTTTCATCAGAATCTTGATGGTGAATCTATAGTTGAGGTGATGTTGATGTACTATGACCTACCCCAATTGAGTTGCCAGATGTTATGATTCTTGTACTTCTTAAGCACATTTGTTATGGTATCACTGCTTGATTATCTTTAGTTACTTGTCTGGGCTGATTTATCTACTTTGGAAAAGTACTTTGGAAGATTTGATGTGCTATTGTAAATGTTTTTGTAAAGTGAGTATGTATGTTTCAAATGCTCAACTACTTACTTTATGTAATTTTATAAGTGTCCCTCATTTTAAAACGTTTTTTAAACAGTATTACAATGTTTTTTAAATGATGATGAGCTAAATAAACAAAATGTCAGAAAATTATTTTCCAGGTAAAGTTGAGGGAGGAGAATTATTGGGCATAAAGAATATGCAGAAAGTGTGCAAAGAATGCGTAAAGAATATGATATATAACTTCAGTTGATCTAGAATATCAGTTTGAATTACCACATTTGATATGTCCAACTAAATGATCATTTGTCACATTCAATTGAATCTATCGTTTAATATTACCTAAATTGCTACTTACACCGATGTTAAAAAACTTGAAATGCTAAACATAATAAATGAAATCATTGGGCGTCCAATATGACTGTGGCCTTTGCCTTTCCAAATGCTATCTGTTTTATGCTAAAATGAAAATCACATTTAGGCAAAATTATTGATTTTTAGTCTATTGTTGGATTTTGTCCCATTGCTTTTGAAATTAAATATTTCATTTCTAATCAAGAACAGGGATGGGGCTTAGTCCAATCATATAAATGTGCAAGCACGTAATCCACCTAAATAGAAGGGAATTCACACCTATAACACTAAATTGAATAGGCTTTACCTAGTAGTTTTATGTTTGACAATATCCTAATTGATTTAGAGTCAAAATGTAAACTGGCATAAAATTTTCTAGTCTTCTCATTTATTAAATAAGGAAATAATTTCTTTTAACTTCATTTTTGAAATAAGTAACTTTTAATTTTTTATTTGCAATGATAATAATGATAATTATAAAAATAACCAAACATGTTTATTGACATTGTCTAGAAAAGTTAGAAATTTGAAATTTGAGCCTTATTATTATTTTATTTAAAGGGTAAAATTTTACACTGATTAAAATGAAATAAACTAATATATAAGGATTGAAGTGTCACCTCTCCTCTAAATAATATTGACATTTTAAGATGAAATTTCAAAATTCTATAGAGTATCATGGTCTCAGACAAGCAATTTAATACTAATATGAGAATCATAAATCTTGTTGGGATTTAACTGATCGTCTTAGTGCTTGTTTCGATTTTCATTATTTGATGAAACTAGAATGCGATAGAAATGCTTGGTGAATTATTAGATAGTGTTAACCCCGCGAATTGGACTCTTCACATAGCCAACGGTGAGCTGCTCCTCGTGTTTCTCTTCACACACAACAGCAAACGGTCAAGCGTATATGGTAGGTACCGAAGGTGGTGGTGACAGCCACATACACTTCGTCGATCAAGTCAATCGCAGGGGTGCCGAAAATGCGTAATACTCAAGGGGGAGGAGAAAAATGTAGTTGCTTGGTTATGGAATACTTACCTTTATCTCTGGCCAAGTCCTTGGCATTTATAGGCAAAGGGTACCGCTAGATATAAGACACGTGTATTCATACAATGGGGTAAAGCGTCTGCTCGTAGGCGTTCATCAATCGCTTCTTAGGTGGATGGATAGATAATTCCTCTAATCTTGGATTGACATATGACAGAGATGTCACATCGATCATTCTTGAAGATACATAAACAACTTGACTAAAAGATCCGTTTGTGGAACTAGCGGTGGAGATGTGTTTCTCCTTTTCTCCATAGCATAATGCCTCAGCCACATCACGCTTCGGAAAAGACATCTCGAGACATATAGACACCTCGAAATGTTTCACCTCGGGGACCTTATGCCTCGAACATGCCGCTTTTGGATGTGATTGTCACGCTTTCAGGGTGAAGACGCCCCAAATGACATGCATTTAAGCCGAGGTGCTATTTGGTGGGCGTAACAGATAGTAAGTCTGGATCATGCGTTGTTAAAATTAAAGTTTGACTTGGACAACTAAATTATAAGAAAATTAAAGAAAAGGCAAACAACCCCTTGATAATTCTTTCACCGTATATAATTTGTCACTTTAGCATGACCCTCTGGATTGGTTCTTGGTCTCATCGAGGACATGCACATGGGATCAGACACAACTTCAAGTTTAATATTCGATGCGCGAGGACAAGTGTACTGATTTTTGAATTGTAATTGAATCTTTCTTACATTATTAATTGCTAATTGTATTATTCTACTTTAATATATTACTTTAAAATTCGAGAACCCGCGTTAAGACATTGTTAATGGTATCTAATTCGGTGGTTGAAAGTAAAAGTAATTTTTAAAATTTGATTGTTTACATAAGAATTCGACTTTTATCTCATACTATTCCTTGCTTGATTTGACCTTTTTTTTTCATTGAATCAAGTTATAATGAAATTAGTTCAATGAATTTGTTAGACCAAAAAGGAATTAAAAAAGATAAATGCATGAAAACTTTTGGGATTTGTTTGGTATAATTTTAGGAATGCCCCTTTACTTGCCATTGCAGGAATGAATCTCAGTACGATTTCTTGCACTTGGAGGAAGCATCAATGTGTCGCTGCACGTTGATTAATAGACGATCAAATACGGACCACCACGCCCTACAAACATTCTTTTTCATTATGCTATCCCTATCTGCAGTTAGGCAATCTTTTGTCTGCACAAAGTGTCTGAAATTCTTGCAATCTGCAGTAACTTCAAAATTTTAACAAAAGTCTCCCTCTATTTTCCTTTGCTGCTATATTTTGGCACATTGTGTTAAGATCTTGGATGTTTTGGTTATATGTGATAATAACACGAGAAGAGTATTAGTGATAGCAGTGGGACAAGAATGGGTCAGGATTGCAATACGATTCTCATTGTCCTATCCTCGCTTAAGGCGAACGGGGGGCGGGGCTAGGGATTCCCACAGCCCCATTTACATCTAAATTACATTTTTTTCTTGTCCATATACAATTGATAGATTGGCTTGCACGATATTATGATGAGCCTTTGTTTGGTAAATTCGTTTATTTTTAAAATTTTTATGACTTATATGAGACTTTTTTTTTTTTTTTTTTAATTACGCGTAGAGATCAAATGAGCTATTGGATGACAAGATTTAGCAACAGTGCTAGATTTCAGCGACATGGGGTGAAAAAAATATTGAAAATACAAAATATACATGTATTTATATATTAAAAACTAAAATATTTTATATAAATCTAAAGAATTTTTCAAATGTTGAGAGAGTGATAGCCACTTCCGACAAGATTAATGCTCTCAAATAACCATCTTATAAGACATATTAAAATCATCAACCCTGCTGCATCAACAGGTTCAATCATAGAATTTTAATGAAGGGAACACGATTCATTTTTCCATTTGATAGTTTACCAAAAAAAAAAAAAAAAAAGTAGTCACACAGCACCCATCATCCAACCCTGTCACTCTCCTCTATTTGAGTAGCTTTATTTTAAAATCATATTTATAATATATTAAAATATCGCGTCAAGGGAGAATTACCTATTGGACAGTTTTAGCCCCCTACAATTCAACTATTTCAATAATGTAATACTTTTCGTTTTTTGATCTGTAATAAATATTACATAATTATTGTCATTTATGAAATTTGTGTTATTAACTTTCAATTAATTAAAATTCACATTAACATAGATTCAATGAATTTTCACTTAATGAATTCTGAATTATATGAATCTAGAGTTATTATAAATGAATTTATTCATATTCACGTATCTAAAAATTTTAATGGGCGTTTAAATTTATGTATTAACAATTAATTTTTATGTATCAAATGTAATATAAAAAAAATTGTTTATTTATAGTATTTCATCATTACAAAAAATTTGAATTATGGAAATTGAGTTTCGAGAGAACAATTTTATTCTCTTAAATTTTTGTGTTAAATTTTATTTTCTTTAATTCGTCCAAAATTTATCAAATCTTCCAACAAATTGATGCAAAATATTATTTTTCTATTACTTATAAAGTATTTTAGAATAACGTGTCATACATGTTCAACTTTGATTAGTATTATCCAAAAGTGATAACAAACATGATTTTTTAGTTACTTTAATAAATTTAAACACAAATAAATTCATTATTTTATATTTTATGACAGGTGTACATTTATGTCTACCAATTCAAATTAATTTATCAATTGTAGAAGTTGCACAGTAATTTCTTATTGTCCAACTAGGCGACAAACTATTTTCTTTTAAAAAGTATACTAAACGTGGCGTAGTTTGACCCGCTAGTATTACTCGCCCATTTTTTCCAATAAACGGGTCCGGATCCACTCGGATAAAGAAAAAAATAAATGAAAAATAGAGACAGATTTCCGTCCCAGAATAAAAGGGTAGTCTAATTACTATCTCACATTTTTTTCCTCTCTCTGAAAAAGTCTTCTCACCCAATGAACAAGCAAAGGATTCAATCCAAATCCTTCGATCCGTTAAATTTTTATCACCTTTGTTCACTTGGTTCTTCATAATAGGTTCTCCAATGGCGTCGGCAGTGGCGGAGCGAATCGAACTCGCGAAGCACTGCACATCAAAGGATTGGTCAAAGGCAATCCGCGTTCTCGATTCTTTTCTTTCCCGTTCCTGCATCATTCAAGACCTCTGGTAAATTGTTAATTTTTGAGTTCTTAAATAGACCGACCGACTGATTGATTATTGCGTTAACATATTTGTGGTGTGTTTTGAAATTTCAGTAATAGAGCATTTTGCTATAGTCAATTGGAGTTGCATAAACATGTGATTAAGGACTGCGACAGGGCGCTGGAACTCGATCTTACGCACATCGAAGCCTACATTTTGAAAGGTAATTTTTGAATTAGTGCAATTTCTGATTAACTGACCGTATTTCGTTTCACTTGTGCTGATTTCAGACCTTAGATTGGAATATGAAAAGAATTAAATTCTATATTATGCAGTAGAATTTTGTTGATAGTGGGAAAAAAAATGTATCTCTGTTCCCAAGACGTCCATAAAATTCGAAGTCAACCATTCACCCCAAAAAAAAAAAAAAAAAAAAAAAAAAAAAAAAAAAAAAAGAAAAAAGAAAAAGAAAAAGGAACTCAACTAAGAAATTCGGAATCATCTGCATATTTTTTTTTAATCCTTTTTAATTCTTCTCCTTGGTTTTAGCAAAGTAAATTCCATGTAGTAATCTATTTAATTATTACGGTTTTAGTGTTATAGAGAAAAAAATGATAATTTATTGAATGAAATTGTTTTTTCAACATGTAGGAATTTTTTTAAATGATATTAGCTATCTTCAAGAATGAAGAGATCTGGTTACTTGTGGTAGCTTTAGTCTGTGTTACTACTGATGCAAATGCTGGTTATTCTTTATACTGCTCAGGGTATTGAATTTATTTCTTAAGAGTTCTAGTGGAAAGCCAAACTGCTTCCTTTGGAGTTCTTATTTTTCAATTGGCGCCTTTAATATAGGCATTGGAATTACATTGAAGCTATTTCAAGTATTTATTTATTATTTCTCGAACTATGATCTCAAATCTTGAACTCCATGGCACCAGTTACATTGTTTATGTTGTCTAAACTTCTGTTGTCAGCACTTTGCGGAGAATTTAAGTTTGTCGAGTCAATGCTGATTACAGAAATAAAAGAATTTTCTTATATTGATATTAAAAGATCAAAATTTCTGTTCACAATAGTACTATTTTGAATTCAATGTATGGTTTAAAATTATTGTTAACTTAATGATAAAAGGAAAAGAAGAGGATAGACAGCAAGCTTATGGCACGTTATAACTTATAAAAAATATCATGCAAACTTCTTCTTCTTCTTTTTTTTAAAGGTAATTCAATATTTTATTAATCAATGGATAATGCACAAGAAGTTTATTATTGATTTAAGCTAGAAAAGAACAGCATTAAATTGGGCAGCTTGTCTATATATCTAGTAATTACAGCATTAAACTAAATATACAATGTCAAATAAAAAAAAATTCTCTAATCTGCTCAGTTGTTCGTGTTTGATCATCAAAATAGTGGCCGTTTCTTTCTCTCCGCACACACCATGCGATGCAATCCGGAATATTATCCCATACTAGTTTGCTATCCATATTGCGAAACTTTCTTCTCCATGCCTTTAATACATCTTCCATACACCTCGTCTTTCTATCCCTTTTACACATATAGCACCACTCTGTAACATAAAAATTTCCGTGTTCAGAGATTATCCACCGTTAACATCTATTCCCTGACAATCATTCATAGTAAAAATGTCACTCTTTGAGGCAATTTACATTTTCATGCCATCTTCTAAGGGGATGAACTCTTCACAGATCCCAACAAAGGTCTAAAATAAGTGTCGACTTAGAAGGTACCATCCCTTGTTGATCTCCACTTACTACAATCCTCCTCTCGTATCCTATGTGCACCTCATGCAAAGATGTTAGAGGCAGCGCATAATCATCTACTTCCAGTTCAGAAAACCCCGCTCAAAACAAAGCAATACGATACAAAGACGGAAACCCTACCCTAAGCGGTTGCTCTCCACACCAACAAGCTTCAGAAAAGAACAGACACATGAGGATCATATTGCAAATACTTGAAAGAATATACCAACATAATCTTAAAAATTTGTACAAATGATGAATTAGATTAGGAGCAAAGGCTATTGTAAGCAAGTAGTATTGATTCCAGTTAAAAAAAAAAAAGAAAAAAGAAAAAGAAAAAGTGAAGCTCATTGCCACTTCTTTGATGTAAATTGCATTTAATTGTGTCATTCAAGCTCTTCATGTCTTTCTATAAATTAATTTTGTGTTGTTTGAGAATTTGTTTCTTAGACCCCCTTTACTTTCATGATTTAAGTTTTGATAATGAAATTGCTTCCAAAAGTGTGAACAAATATGTCCTCACTTAATCTTAATTTCTATATAACTCTTTTTTATGGCATTTAACATGTGTCTTCTCTTATGGTATTTAATCTGTCCATCCATGCTTACTAGACTGTGGGTAAGAATGTTTCAGGTTGATGTTACAAATTACAATCATGTTTGGAAATGATGCTTCCCTTGTGGCATTCACATGACTAACTAGAAGCTGTTTGGTTTGCATGACCTAAGAATATTCCCCCATGCAATTGGATGCGCCATACAAGTAATTTAAATTCGAACTTGAAGCACCAGTTACTCAACCAAATAGTCTGTTGACATAATTATACCATTGATTACTTCACAAATGATGATGAGTTAGTAGATTATTGTTTAATTCGAATATGATTATCACACAAAGTTTCAATCAATCTAAGTTTGGGAGGCATCATATCATCTAAGGAGATATTGAATCTTAAACACTTGCAGTTCCATAATTTCTTCTTTGAGATTGAGTAAAGAGTACAAAACGTGAGAATCTCTTAAAAAAATAGAAATAATGATGTTGGGAAAAAGGAAAAGATAATTTGACCAAAGTTCTTGCTGTGGCCATTGTAACTTGTGAAGGTGTTTTGATTATTCTATTTTAACATCACTCTAGTGCTCATGTAATTGGTGCTAGTTACTACGATTCTTGCATTCAAAATTCTCTATCGACTCATTCTACTTCGTCATGAATTCTGCAACAAGATTTTCTGAAGGACATCCTTTAACTCATTTTTTGTGTAGGTCATGCATTTTCTGCTTTAGGGAGGAAAGAGGAAGCTCTTTCAGTTTGGAAGAAAGGTTATGAACATGCTGTTTGTAAACCTTCAGATTTGAAACAACTACTGGAGCTGGAAGAGCTCCTGGGAAGTGCGAAAGGCGATGGTTCTATTGCCCATGAGAACCATGCTGTGGAGTCAACTAAGTCATCTTCTTCTGCATCTGAACCTGTCGATTCTGTTGAACCAAGTGAAACATATAACCACCTTGAGAATTCTAATGGCAAAATTGAACATTGCAGCAAGTTGACTGACCGATTGGATGCCCATGACAACTTATATGACGGATCAGAATTTCACAGTGAATCAAGTCGTAATGATGAAGGGATTAAACTGTTTGGTCATCAATCAAATGGGAAACATGAAAGTCAACCAAATGGAGCTAATTATATTCACGAAGCATTGAGTGATTCATCTCAATCATGCATGAGTTCATCGGCGCTCTCTAGTGAATCCATCAACTTGTCAGATATTTACAGTGAATCAATTAATTTATCAGAAACGTGCGATGAAACAAGTGATGAAGCCAAGAGTAGCAAAAAGTTCTGTGTGGCTAGGATTTCTAAGAACAAGTCGATAAATGTAGATTTCCGATTATCTAGGGGAATTGCACAGGTAAATTTCTTCTACACCTAATAATGCTTGTGATAACTAAATTAGATGTATCCTGTATCCCTGACAGGTCTCTGTTATTTCTGGTGTTTTTTCAATTATCTGATTTTCTCTTTGATGCTTGAGTTTATTTTCCTTTCATATTTCTTTCTTGTTGAGGGTCAATCTATTAATTTCTTTGTTTTTTGGTTGAGTCTGTGCTCATTCCATGTGTAGCATATTTCTTAAGTTACAAGTTTATTGTAGTATGTCCGTAGAAGAAATCAAACTGACAATAGACTGTTGGAAAAGTACTTGTTTGTTTGAGATTTTATTTTATATTTTTTTGTTTGATATTATTCCATAGAACTATAATCCTGGTGTGTGTCTAAGAGGATGTGTTATGGCAGACATTTCATAATAAATTTCCTGACTGGTGTTTGAGCTTATTTCTACCATTTCATTTAATGCTGAAAATGCTAGAGGTCATTTTTCCCCATGTTATGTAGACCTGGTGATGTAGGATTGCCTTGCCTCAATTAGATTAGATACATGGTGGGTTTTAAAATGTTTGGAAAAGGTTGGCAGAGATTGTGACTAAGTATGAAAATAGTTTAGAGCAAAGATACTACACATTGCAAGCACTGTTTATAGGTTTTGAAGAGGAATCACAATCACAGGAATTGAGGCTGTTGGGCTGGGTGATGATTTATTCTTCTGTTAACAACTTTCCTTTGTAGCGTATATTTCCTGCTCAAGTAAGACAGCAGCAGTTGTACTATGACAAAGACAGTGCCAGTTTCATACTGACCCTTTGCTTCAACATGGTACACGGACCAACATGTCCAGTGACCCCTAATGTCTTATTCTGAAATGAATACTTCTCTCTGGTCAATTCTTCATATTAAGTAACAATGGCTCTTGTTCCTGTTTATATTCTGCATTGTAGCTTACCCATTGAGATGAGCCAAAGTACTGTAACATGCAAACTTTTCAACAGTGCTTGATTGCCAGTTATTGTTAATCAGAAAGAATGTTAATATGACTCAACAGAGAACATAAGGGATCTGATGTTGGCCTTCTGCTGTTGATTCTGTCGGCAAAATGTTGTTACTAGCTTGCTAATACTCTGATCATGGTTGGATACCTTAGATTGTGTAAAGGGGGGACATTTGTGACACATCTTATTCATTTGGTTATGTACGTTATTCACAATGTGAATTTAATGTCTCTCTTTTACAGGTTAATGATGGAAAATATTCTTACGCTGTAGAGATCTTTGATAAGGTTTACATTTTTCTACTGTTTTAGTTCTGTCTATCCTTATCTTCACTAATACCATTTTCCTCCTGTCATTGGGATAGAAAGGAAAAGGAATAGCTGTCATGCCAAGATTTTCAAAAACTTCATCTTTTGCTTAACATGACAGATACTAGAAGAAGATCCTGATTACCCTGAGGCGCTAATTGGAAGGGGAACGGCATACGCATTTCAACGAGAACTGCATTCTGCTATTGCTGATTTTACAAAGGTAAACTTGAATTTCACACAGTTAAGCTTGAATTTGAATACTTTGCATGAGGTAAAGCCTTGGAAGTAAATGTGGTTACTTTGAATAGGCTATACAATCAAATCCATCAGCTGGTGAGGCATGGAAGCGTAGAGGGCAAGCTCGCGCAGCGTTGGGAGAATCTGTGGAGGTATCATAATTTTGGTGCTTATGTCTTGAATTCACTTGTTTTGTAAGAGTTTATTTTGATTGTTATTTGTTCTTTGATATTTTGCCTTTTTTCAAAATTTTCCGAATGTTGAGGTATTGCTGCAATATTTGGTTAGCCTTAGCCATATCATTTTTTTTGACACAGGAATTGAAACTATACAATTTTTTGTCAGAGATTCTTAATTATTCACCCATTTATGCTTAAATCTTGAATTGCAGCCACTTTCACTCCCTCCCCAGAATGTAATTTTCAGAGATCTAGAAGTTGATTTCCTTGCGAGAAGATAATTTTCTATTTTGCACTGGAAAATGGAAACGAAGATTCCATTTCCTAGTATGGGCACATTGGAATGTTGTATATTACCAATCACAGTGGTTTAGACAGGAGAAGGGAGATGGTGATAGGTGATAAGTCAGACTTGGTTCAAGAGATGGTTAGTTTATGTCTTGGGTTGATGGCACTAGTAGGGAGGGAAGAGTTCGATGGATAGGGAGGTGGTGGGCAGGAGTAGGAGCATTGGATGAGGAAAAAGCTACCAATCTGGCAGTTCTTAACTATACACATGACAAGACAATAGATAATTGATGCTCTTTTATGAACCAATTGGATCATTTTAGGGAACTGGCCTTCTAGCTTTCACAAAAGGCCTCCTCGGAAAATAATTAGATTGCTATTGACTGTTATAACTCTCTGAAATCTGTATCTGAGTTGGTGAGGAAAGTGAAATAGAGAAGGATTTAAAGGTGACAACCAAGCTCCAAATTCTCATATCCTGTGAATGGTGAAGATCTTAAAAATCATTCTGCACATAGTGGAGAGAAGTTGACCTTCTCAATTGACAACCTTGGAAGGAGCAAAAATTCATGAAACAGAATCACCACCAACAGTATAGAATTGAGAGATTTGAGTGTTCTGGATGGGAGAAATAACAATGTAAACTTTGTGAAATCTACAAAAAAAAAAAAAAAAAAATTGTTACACATAAAACTTCCCCAGATCCTGAGAAGAGAACTGATACAATCTTGGGAAGGCATATGCATGGAAGGTGAATTTCCTGGGATTTTATGTATGACATTTTGCCGACCATGACATCCCACACATTTGGTTGAGGGTCATGCTCCTATTCCCTTTTATACCAAAGAGAATTAGGCTCCAAAAGGCACACCTATATGTGTTCGGCCATCAAATTGTCAATTACTATTTACCTTGTGATTGTTCATAAAGTTCAAAAGCGGTGCATCTTGTGTGCATTAACACTTCGGAAAACGGTAAGTAGTTACAGGTGGGCTTCTGCTGCCAATACCTGTCATCTTATTATTGCTTCTAAATCTCTTAGTTGAACACATTAACTTAATGATGGAAGCTGAAATCTTGATTTCTACTTTAAACCCTTTTAAGTTGCAATATTCTGGTGTCAGAGAAATATTTGATCATGATGACAAAACTAGTGCAGGAATTGTAAATTATAAATTTAAGGATTTCACTGCTGCTGTTGAAGACTTATCTGCATGTGTAAAAGTTGATAAGGATAATAAATCTGCGTACACTTACTTGGTGAGTCCACGACTATTAAGCTTCAGTTATTGCATAGATTCAGCTAGATTAAGTTTATGCCTAAAAACTTATAGTTACTAAGCTGCAGAAATTTTGGCTTTTTGTAGGGTTTGGCTCTATCTTCGATTGGCGAATATAGAAGGGCTGAAGAGGCACATATGAAAGCAATTCAGATAGATCGAAATTTTATGGAGGCTTGGGGTCATCTAACCCAGGTATCCATGAACATATGATTAGTGCTAGCATCTAGACCTCTGTTTGGACATAAATTTATAAATCATGTATAAATTCAGTCAGAGTCAGAGTCAGAGTCAGAGTCAAGTATTAATTTCACTCATTATTATCCACACGTTTCGGGGACCCAATACTATTCATCTTTATAAACCATTTATAAATTTGCCAAACGGAGGCTAATATATATTCCCAACAAATTGAACTGAATATCCTAGTTTGTCTAGGGAATAAATTTAACCAAAGGGTGGATAACAATTATATTCTTTCTGATGTGACTGGATGTGGTGGACCTAAGTGATCTGTGGATTCTTATGTCATATCAAATAAAATTGGAACCGTGTTATTAAATTTTGGGAACTGTAATATGATTTTGGTGAAACATTTGATAAATTTTCTGTTGAAGAAAATCAACATTGCATTGAGATATCTCAGGAAAAAAGTGGAAGATTCATGTGAAATGGTAGTAAGTACTTGGGAAGGTGTATTTTCTTGCTCTTGATATTTAGTATCTTTGATCTCAATCTCTTCTTTTGTCTGTCTTTCTTTGTTTTTCCAAGTCTTTCTCTCACACTTTCTGTGTCTGAATTTTGAATTATTATTGAGGCTCATGTAAAATTCGTAATACTCTTCTCCGAATAAACAGATACTTAATTGCTATCTTTGGAAATCTCCCCTTTTTATAAGATGTAGCTAGTCAGCAGAAAATTACTTCCCCACCCACCCCTCCTGCATGAATTTAAAACTATGAAGTGACTTTTGGGTAAACTCTTGTCTAAAAGTTTGAGGTTAGTGTTGGTGTAATTATTTAACCCTTCAATCTTTGGCATATGACATTTGTCTAAATCTCTGTCTGCACACCCTGTTCAGCAGAGGTTTTGGGACAAAGTTTGAGGGTTCCGTTACCAAATGGTTTTTGGAGTTATCTATAGGAAAACTCTCACGTATGTAAAGCTTTAAGAATTTTGAATTTTTGACGTCAATTGAACCATTTAAATCAAATTAATAATATGAAATCCTGTTCGTAGAAATCAAACAAGTTCGAGTCAATAATGGATATTTTTGTTTTGAAAATTGTTAATGGCTTGGCGTTGAAAAATTATTGATTTCCATGAAGTTTTATAATGTGTGTGATTTGATTGTAAAGAAAGCTTTGGATTACTGATATGTGCCAGAGTCTTACCTTTAGAATTATTTGAACAAGATTCTGTATCATGTTTTGAGCTTTTGGCAGTTCTATCAAGACATGGCGAATTCAGAAAAGGCTCTGGAATGCATTCGCAATATTCTTCAAATTGATGGAAGGTATATTCTATGAATCTCAATTGTGATGTGCATACCTCTAATTTGGTTTGCTCGCATTTTATCCCTGTATCAGAATATTGTGCAATTATTTTTTGGGTGATTGAATGATTAAAGATGCATGCTTATGGTGATTTCTTTCATCCAAGGTTCTCTGCAATTGAATTTATTTAAAATTTCTTTATGGTATGAAGAGTAGTATTCCTTGTATTATCCTATGTAACAATTTTCCTATAGAGATATCTTAATTCTACACTCACTTCTAGAGTTCTATGCAAATTCAAATAGTTTTTCTTTGTAATATTCACACATTTGTTTCCTTATTATGTTTTGTTGATCTCACTACATGCACACATGCTAGTGAGGCCATAATTGATGGCAGCTACTTTATTCTGGACTCTACTTGCTCTAATAACACATTGAATGACTATTTAATCTCAAAGTCTAAGTTGTTGTGGGTCTTGAATTTTACCATTTGTCTTCAACAATGAAATTTACATTAAAAACATAGTTAATGCTTTTAGCAATGTCTTTAGGTTTGTCAAAGCATATCATCTGCGGGGGCTACTTCTTCATGGCATGGGAGACCACAGGTAAATTTTCTAGCAATTTTGTACAGTGGAGGTGAGATTAAATGAAAGCTAGAACTATCAAATATTGTTGTATATTACTTGGTAATATTCATTATTAATATCTTTTTCTAGTTATTGGCTGTTGATGCCATCATAAGAATCTGAGTAGTGATGCTCTTATTAGATTGGTAGTTTTACTGCTTTTGTTCAAATGGAAGTTGTCATTTACATTCTCCTGCTAATCTTTTTTCTCCTTTACTTTGTGCATTTGAGATTAGGTTGTAATTAGTCTTGTTTGAATCTGCTAGATATTGAGATGCTTGAAATGAGAATTAAAGTCTCATTATTATAGTTTTTGGATTTTTAGTTGGTATAAAATTTTGCCTCTCTGGTTACTCTTTTTGCTTCGATTTCCGATCATGTACAATGTCATTTATGTTTTGTTTTGTATATTCATTTGTTTATTCTATTTTGAAATTTTGATTATGATAGACTTGCACCAAAGTGTTGCTTAAAGTTGTTATCTTTTTGCTTTAGTCATGGATGAGCTTACTAGACGTATCGAACATGAAGTCAGTTGTGTTTGCCATTCTCTGGTGATATACTTTTAGTTGAGGAAATTTGAAGGAAATAAATTACAAGTTAGAACTTTGTAAAGGTATTTGGAATCCAATGGTCTTAGGTTGAATGAAACTAGAGCGAAATATATTAAATATTTATAAAACTGTATGGAATAGTGACAATGGTGGAGTCAAAATAAAGGATGTCATGTTTCAAAAAACTTTAATTTCAGGCTCTACCTTTGGTTACTAATAAGAAAGGACTTGAGACAAAAGATTGAAAACCCATATCAATGTGACAATGAGTAAAACTTGTGAAAAGTGTATTTTCTGTTTGTAGAATAATTAGAGACGTCGATTTAGATTTAATTTTAAATTTTCTAGGTAAGAATTAATAGATCAAGGGATAAGTAATTCGACTCATTCACATTCAGAGCATGAATGTTTGGAATTCATATTATGCAAGGAGAGGGGAAAGTTCTGTGCAATTAAAGTATGCTTGATAAAATGGAGAAGTTCCATGTAGATTATATATGATGGGATATGTCTAATTAGTTAAGAGTGAATTTTATATCACAACTGGTAGATCATTGATATTTTATAGTACGGGTTGGCATTAATGGACAAAAAATATTCATAATATTTATAAGCCAAAGTGGAATGTTAAAATGGATGGGTGGCTGCACTAGTGAATTCTAAAAGAAATGAGGCTATGGATATGGATAAATTAAGTGAAGAATATCTTGTATTGTTGGTCCATGTCTTGCGTAGACCTGAAGTAACTCGTGTTCTTAGCGATGAAATTGCAGTATAGCGGGCTAGAAGAGGGAGAGAAAACCAAAACTAATGTGCTGGTGGTTGTGAAAGGTTCGATTTACTTCAACAATTGAGAAGAGGTAGCCTTGAGTATAATAGGATGGCTGAAAACTGTTCATGTCATCAACCCCTGTTCATGTCATCAGCCCAAGTTCACTGTTGCTTGTTTGTCTGTTTGAGGTGGATATATTGTTTAATATGTCCAAATGATTACCATTAAAGATTCATAGCTATTCCCAGTCCCACAACTCTTCTAATTGGTACCATAATAAAATTCCAATTTACAAATTGTTATCTAGTACTTGAACTTTTTCGCTTTCTAACCAATTACTTTTGTCGCTGTTACAGGAATGCCATCAAGGATTTGTCAGTCGCGTTGAGTATTGAGAGCTCAAGTATTGAATGCCTGTATTTAAGAGCTTCATGTTATCACGCTATTGGAGAATATAAGGAAGCAGTAAGGAAGTTTGTTTGTTGCCCCACACCCGTAGTTTCTCTAAGGTATCAATGGATTAACTTCACGGATTCTCTTAAATGTTATCGATTTTGTGATGCAGGTGAAGGATTATGATGCTACTTTGGATCTGGAATTAGATTCAGTGGAAAAGTTTGTTCTCCAGTGCCTGGCCTTCTACCAGGTTTTTATTGTAGAACAGTTCAATTATAGCATTTTTCACATTTTTAATTAATAGCTAAGTTTAATTAAGAAAATATCATATATATACATGTGAATAGAGAACATTAGTTATTAAGAAATGATGGTATAAGATAGTAATAGATAGCGAATTACCAAGTAGGTTCTTCTGAAGGCTGCTCTGATGTTATTTTTCTCCTTAAGTCCTACATAGAGGTTGATGGGATGCTGAATTAGCATTGCCACACACTGTTACTAAATCACAACCCACCAAATTCGTGAAGGAACCAAGTTCTTGTCAATGGTGAATGATGAAAAGAATGACCTATGGAAAGTGATCTACGAGCCAAATTCGGTCTATATACCTTCTTGTGGGTACTCTTTTCTTTTATTATTTTTTAGGCATCAGTGTTGTGGGTAGTGGTATGAAGAGTTTTGGTTATATTTTTATTCTAGATTAGATGCGGATGGGTGCATTGCTGTTGCATCCCAGTTACATGCATCCACCAAACAATATTCTAAGGGGGTGTTTCTGCCCCATTATTTGTGAATAATGTAATATGGAATAGTAATTGATGTTAAAATGTGTGGTTAAAAAAGAATGAAATTTTTTTGATTTATGTGTAATATTATTTTAATGGCGAATGTATGGTTGAAAATGAGTATCGTAGAAAAAATAATGTGATATAATGGTAGACAAACAAAGCCTAAATTTATTCCATTATCTGACAAAATTAGAAAGGGAAATGGTGTAACTGGTCCGGTTCAGAGATTCATTGAAAGTTTCTGGTGCAATAGAACCAAACTTTGCTTATTGTTTCCATGGAATTGTCCAGTTTAATTCTTCAGGTTTTTCTAGTCTTGAATAATTTCGCCCATCCCTATGCAAAAGCTACATTGTGGTGGTGCCTCGAAATTAAACATACAAAGTACTCTTCATGTAGGCACACAGAGAGTGCCTCTAATGAATAGAAATGGAAAAAACAGCAGAAATATTGGATTCATTAAGATAGAAGATAATGGTTAAAATGCAACAAAATTGCATGCTTGTTATCCTTATTTGTGCTTTGCGCTTAATGCTGACCATATAAATAGAAATAACTTGATAACAATTCATAATTAAAGCTTTTATCTGATTGCAGCTCATCCAGCCATATCATTTGTCGTTCGACTCTTTCAATTTATTCTATTATCTTTTCTTGCAGAAAGAAATAGCATTATACACAGCTTCGAAGTTCAACAGTGAATTCTGTTGGTTTGACCTTGATGGCGATATAGATCCCCTCTTCAAGGTAAATGACTACAACGGTACTTTCTTAATATCTGTCAATACTTCAATCAAAGTTTTGATTATGCTAATTGATTACTTAGAGTATTTAACATGTGGTTTAGATCGTTTAGCTGTCAACACCAAAATTTCAACTTTAAATATATTTTCTGGTTATGATGCCGTATGTGATCTTCACTGTTGTCTATTTAGTGATCCAGGTTTTTTTGCTCAAAAAAATTATCATTTCAATTTGAAATATAAAATGATGGCAGAATACTTTGGTGTTTGTTTAACTGATACCCACTTTTCCGAATTGTATCCATTGAAGGCATCTCAGAAATTTATAAATATTAGTGGCAAAGGCAAGATAGCCTCCCCAAACCCACCCCAATAGATTTAAATTTGCTTTTATACTATAGTAATTGTGACGTGCATCTTGTGTGACCCATTCTTGTTATGAAATATCTCTGTGGTCTGTCATCTTATATGGTAGAAAATGTTTGATGGTCAAACTCTGTCAATTAGTGCACCGCGGAGAATTTGCGAATTGTATATTTTGATGTCATGCAATAGTGAATGCATTCACTTGAAGCTGAATTTTAAACAGCGTAGGAATGGAAAGAAAAGAGATCTATAACTGACTTAGCATGATAGCTAATTGATTTCATATCATAGGGAAAAGAAGAAATGCAAAATATTTTTTCAAATTGATTCTTTTCTCATTGTTCTTCCTTCAACTTATTTCTCCGTTTCAGGAATATTGGTGCAAAAGGTTGCATCCAAAGAATGTATGCGAAAAAGTGTACAGGCAGCCTCCTTTACGTGATTCTTTAAGGAAGGGAAAGCTAAAAAAGCAAGAATTAGCACTCACTAAACAGAAAACTATTCTTCTACAGACAGCAGATTCTATTGGCAAGAAGATCCAGTATCATTGCCCAGGTTTCTTGGCCAACAGGCGTCAGGTGATTATTCATAAGAATAGTATAGAAATTTTATGTTTAATGTGGTTAAATAACAGTTCAAGACTACCTTTCATTTTTCCTAAACTAGAAAATAATCTTTGAAACATATTTTTATTTTATTTTATTTATTTATTTATTTTTTAATTGTACTCCAGAAGTCGTGCTTGGTTGGTTGATTAGAATGAAAGTTGTTCTTGTACAATAATTTTCCTTTTGTTTATCTCCATGTTGTACTTTTTTTCTTGCATATGACTAATATTATTTCTTTTGGGCTTTTTATGGCCGCCTTGCTTATCCTTGTTTTTTAATTTTTTTGGAATGCATCTTTTGGAACTAAGGAGGGCAAGGAATGAGAGAGAGGGAGAAAATTCACATTTGTAATTTATGCAGATATGTATGTTTCTGGGAAAGGAAAAAGTGTTGCGATAAAATTATTTTGACTGCCTTTATTTTAGTTTTGTGGGTCTTGTAGGATCTAGGTTCCGAGTTCTTGAGCAACCATATGTGTTGTTGGTCTGAGAATTGTTATTGATTGCATCCTTATTTAATGGTAGAAAAACTTGAATTTGACTTAGCAAACATTTTTAAAAGTTGGGCAGTTGAGGTTCCAATCTTCAATAAGTGTTCATTTCAACCTTCCTTGTTTAAATGAAGCCACTTCCCAGTGTTTTGCATGCTTACCTATGGAGCTGTTGTGAATGCAAACTGCATCAATAGGTTTTGTCGTTTGACCAATTCATGATCCTTAGGCTGCATCAATGGAAGGAACTTGTTAATCTTGAGTAAATTTAGAAAATCAGCGAACTAACAACGGGATTTTTTTATTATTATTATTATTATTATTATTATTATTATTATTATTATTATTATTATTATTATTTTTATTTTTTAATAAATCTTCAAATTATTAATTAAGAGAAGAGGATAAATTAAATATAAAAAGTCCTCCAAAATAAATCCTAATTTATTTCCAAATAAGTACCTAATGTTGTTAAGCCTTCAACACTATATCTGTTAGAATCTTCAACACCTCTCCTCTTAAACTTTTGTGCAAAGATTTCCTTTTAGCAAGTCAAAGTTATATTTTCTTAATCATTCCACTTTAACCTATCATAAATTACAGTACAAGATCTTGATTTACTAGAGAAAGTCAGTTGAGGAGGCATGAAAAATCAAAAGGTTCTACAAGCCTTTCAACATCTCACCCAAAAATCCCAACCGCACCTGCTCAAAAAATAGATATGATTCGTTTTGTAAGATGTCCTAAGTCGGCTCTAATTACTCGCAATAGTCTTTCTCATCATTTTTTTCTTGCTTCTGTCTCTTGTTCTTTTTGTTGGGTTTTGCACCTATTGATTTCTTGCATAATTATTTTGTAAATGCACCAGCATCGGATGGCAGGTCTAGCTGCTATTGAGATTGCTCAAAAGGTCTCGAAGGTTTGGCGTTCTCTACAAGCAGAATGGAAGCATTCAATTAAAGGCACAGGAAAATATGGTAAGAAAGCAAGGAGAAAGGAAAGACTCAATCCTCCTAGTCAGAACAGAGGTGGTGCTGGTTGTACCACAAGCAGTTTTTTAGAGCAGACAACTTCATATGGCTCTACAGAAGATAGATCATTTGGACGTCCTACAATGTCATGGCATGATGTTTATTCATTGGCTGTTAAGTGGAGACAGATTTCTGAACCGTGTGACCCCGTTGTCTGGGTTAACAAGCTGAGGTATATTATCTTTATTTTTTTTATTTTTTTTTTCGAAATTGCTTTGGGAAGTGTACATGGCTATTATGATGTCAAAGCTCTTATAGTGCAGGATTCCTGATGTTTATATTATTAGGATCATCAAAATTGCAAATGGGAAATAAGATACTTATGTCTTTTTTTTTTAAAGCAAAAATAAGATAATGCAAGCAAATACACATGAATTTCTCCTTAGTATCCTTGTCTAGTACACACCATACATATATGTTTTTATAGCTTGATAACTAAAATTTTCCTACCCGTGTTAATGGAATCGGCTAGAAAAATATGAGCCGGGAACAACTGAAAGACGAGTGCCAGATACTATTAGCCTTATTTATATGTCTTCATTGAAACCCCATTGTTAGATAGCTACTAATTGATATAATTTCAAAACAGTTCAGTCACAGATACAGTGATATTTAAGGAAAGTACTATTTATCCCCATGCACAATACATAATATCATGTCTGTTTTTGGTTTCTGATACAATGGTGGGCCTAATGTGATATAGTGAGGAGTTTGATGCTGGATTTGGGTCCAATACTCCCCTTATTCTCGGTCAAGCCAATGTTGTTCGCTACTTCCCAAATTTCCAGAGGTAATAGCATATTGTTCTTTTTACAAAAAAAATTATGTCGTTACAACTTTCATGAAGAAAAAGGAAGCATATTCTTTACTTTTTCTACTGTTTTAAAAATTTCTCATTGTTTGTTGAATCGCAGAGCGTTACGTGTGGCCAAGGCTGTAATTAAGGAGAATAAATATGTGCGTGACAGGAAGGATAACATTATTTATTTGACTGATGATGGGAAAGTGCAAGAAGTGAGTTATACTGATGTTCAGTATTGAAAGTTAATCTTGCTCTTTTTTCTGTTGTTTTCAATTGACATGGAACCGATATTCTCCGCAATTCTTACAGACCTAATAATATTTTTCTTCCAAGATAGCCATTTGACTTATGAAGGGGGTTGACGGTTTTCTTCCTAGAACTTGCTACTAATGTACACTTTGTCTATTCTGAATAGTGGAACTATTGACTTGTATGCTTTGGAGAATCAAAAGGTTTTGGAGATGTACTAGTTTCTTTCTTTAGGGAGATTTAGTTTCGGGGCTAAATTTTCTTTCTTTCTTTAGGGATAAAGCTGAATTTCATGTATGTACATTATCCCCATGCACAATACATAATATCATGTCTGTTTTTGGTTTCTGATACAATGGTGGGCCTAATGTGATATAGTGAGGAGTTCGATGCTGGATTTGGGTCCAATACTCCCCTTATTCTCGGTCAAGCCAATGTTGTTCGCTACTTCCCAAATTTCCAGAGGTAATAGCATATTGTTCTTTTTACAAAAAAAATTATGTCATTACAACTTTCATGAAGAAAAAGGAAGCATATTCTTTACTTTTTCTACTGTTTTAAAAATTTCTCATTGTTTGTTGAATCGCAGAGCGTTACGTGTGGCCAAGGCTGTAATTAAGGAGAATAAATATGTGCGTGACAGGAAGGATAACATTATTTATTTGACTGATGATGGGAAAGTGCAAGAAGTGAGTTATACTGATGTTCAGTATTGAAAGTTAATCTTGCTCTTTTTTCTGTTGTTTTCAATTGACATGGAACCGATATTCTCCGCAATTCTTACAGACCTAATAATATTTTTCTTCCAAGATAGCCATTTGACTTATGAAGGGGGTTGACGGTTTTCTTCCTAGAACTTGCTACTAATGTACACTTTGTCTATTCTGAATAGTGGAACTATTGACTTGTATGCTTTGGAGAGTCAAAAGGTTTTGGAGATGTACTAGTTTCTTTCTTTAGGGAGATTTAGTTTCGGGGCTAAATTTTCTTTCTTTCTTTCTTTAGGGATAAAGCTGAATTTCATGTATGTACTATGGAAGATGAACTTTTATTTTATCATATTTTAAAAATTTTGTATAATCAATCATTTAACTACATCTTGTAGATAATGAACGCAAAATCATGCTTAGATCTTTACAAAACTATTGGTGAGGATTTCTGGTTGGCTACTTGGTGCAACAGTACGGCAGTTGAGGGGTACTTTTCGTTTTCATATTTTTTGTTTATGAATATCTATTTGCTGTTTTATACACTTTAGTAAGTAGAGTTTCTAATATTGACCCTAGTTTGGTCTTGTTTTCCTGTTTCAGGAAACGCCTTGAAGGAACAAGGATCACCCTACTAAAATCGTAAGATACAGAATTTTACTCACTGTTGAATTGATTGTTTTTGTTGACTCTTTTGTTGATTGCTGCTTTTATATGTTTTTGATTCTTACAGAGGCGAAAATGGGTTTGATTTTGCAATTAGAACACCTTGTACACCTTCTAGGTGGGAAGACTTTGAAGTGGAAATGATTTCAGCATGGGAGGTATGTCTTCATGTGGAAATCACTTGTAGGCTATTCCATATCGCTTTTTTCTCATAATTTCTTTTAATTCATCTTGTTATTGACTGGAAATTAATTGCATGCTTCTTTACAAAAGTTGACCGGAAAAGCTCATCACTTTCTGCTGATTCTGGAGTAATATTTATTGAGGTTCCAGTTGTGTTGAACTTGTTTATCAATTGATGTGCAGGCATTATGTGATGCTTATTGCGGGGAAAATTACGGGTCAACAGATTTTGATGTGCTTGAGAATGTGAGAGGGGCAATTTTAAGGATGACATATTACTGGTAATATATGATTCCCCTGTGCACGCCAATGATCAGTCCAGAAAATTTATACATTATTTTTATGAAACAAGAAAAGAAATAGATGTGACTCTTTTGTTGATTGCTGCTTTTATATGTTTTTGATTCTTACAGAGGTGAAAATGGGTTTGATTTTGCAATTAGAACACCTTGTACACCTTCTAGGTGGGAAGACTTTGAAGTGGAAATGATTTCAGCATGGGAGGTATGTCTTCATGTGGAAATCACTTGTAGGCTATTCCATATCGCTTTTTTCTCATAATCTTGTTTAATTCATCTTGTTATTGACTGAAAATTAATTGCATGCTTCTTTACAAAAGTTGACCGGAAAAGCTCATCACTTTCTGCTGATTCTGGAGTAATATTTATTGAGGTTCCAGTTGTGTTGAACTTGTTTATCAATTGATGTGCAGGCATTATGTGATGCTTATTGCGGGGAAAATTACGGGTCAACAGATTTTGATGTGCTTGAGAATGTGAGAGGGGCAATTTTAAGGATGACATATTACTGGTAATATATGATTCCCCTGTGCACGCCAATGATCGGTCCAGAAAATTTATACATTATTTTTATGAAACAAGAAAAGAAATAGATAGGTTAAAGATAAGTGAAAATGACAAAATATATATAAAAAGGAAGAAGGATATGATTCTTCTCTATTAACTATTCAAACTCATGAATTCTTTCTGTTTAAACAGTCTCTTTCTAGTTGCTTTGGAATCGGTCCAACTGGAATTTTTGAATCTCTAACAATCGCATCTGTCTTGACTGATGGAAGTACTATTTTGCAGGTATAATTTCATGCCACTAGCCAGAGGAACTGCTGCTGTTGGGTTCATAGTGTTGCTGGGACTGTTGCTTGCTGCTAATATGGAGTTCACTGGGAGCATTCCAGAAGGTCTGCAGGTGGATTGGGAAGCAATTCTGGAATCCGATCCCAATTCCTTTATGTCTTCCATAAAGAGTTGGCTTTATCCTTCTCTCAAGATCAGTACATCTTGGAAAGGGTACCCTGATGTAGCGTCAACTCTTGAGACAACAGGATTGGTTGTTGCTGCTTTGAGCACCTACTTTGAATGAGCAAACTTGCGTATTTAACCAGTAAGTATCTTGGATAATGACTTTTGTGATTCCCAAGTTACTCTGCAAATTAAAAAAATTTTAGGTTTGAAAGATCACTAGCAAATAAGAAATTAAATAAAAAAAACATATAATATTGAAAAGTTTCAACGTCTTGTTGGAATGAATTGTACATTGCTATTAACTTAATGCATGCTAAGCTATTCTTTGCTCCATATTTGCACGAGATTTATTTTTTTTCAAACAATTACATTTCATTCATTATACGAGTTGCCTCACAATTTTTGTCTACGGTGGCTCTTATTGTTCTCTGTGACATAATTTCGCAGATTACTATGAATAAGACAACCATTGTCTAGCATCCTGGAATGTCATGAAAACCAGAACCATTCCTTTATGTCTTCCATAAAGAGTTGGCTTTATCCTTCTCTCAAGATCAGTACATCTTGGAAAGGGTACCCTGATGTAGCGTCAACTCTTGAGACAACAGGATTGGTTGTTGCTGCTTTGAGCACCTACTTTGAATGAGCAAACTTGCGTATTTAACCAGTAAGTATCTTGGATAATGACTTTTGTGATTCCCAAGTTACTCTGCAAATGAAAAAAATTTTAGGTTTGAAAGATCACTAGCAAATAAGAAATTAAATTAAAAAAACATATAATATTGAAAAGTTTCAACGTCTTGTTGGAATGAATTGTACATTGCTATTAACTTAATGCATGCTAAGCTATTCTTTGCTCCATATTTGCACGAGATTTATTTTTTTTCAAACAATTACATTTCATTCATTATACGAGTTGCCTCACAATTTCTGTCTACGGTGGCTCTTATTGTTCTCTGTGACATAATTTCGCAGATTACTATGAATAAGACAACCATTGTCTAGCATCCTGGAATGTCATGAAAACCGGAACCAGAACCAAAAACTCTGGCGATATTTCAAAACTTTTACGTAGTTTGTGCTATCAAATGAATTATGTACTGTGCATTATCGTTCCGAGAGCTGTATGTTTTTAATGTATTTGTTAGTTTGTTGGAATTATTTTATTTTGGTTTACTTGTTTTATTACAGTTGCATTATCTATATATTATCTTTATACTTGGTGAATTTTTCTATTGATATATAGAGAATACACAGCAAACAAGCAAAGCCCATCAAAGTGATGCTTTCCAATTTAGTCAGTACTGTGTACTAGCCAGGACCTGCAAAGGCTCGCATGAATCTACCTTGATACATGTGTCATGACAAAATTGCTTGAAAGAGATGTCGCATTTTGTGAAGGAAAATAAAACCCAAAAGGAAAAAGAGGAAAACAGAAGTGTATTTGTACGAGTTAAAGCAAAATGAAAAGACCATGCTTGACATCCAGGGCCACATGGGCCCTGCACGGACAACTGGACAAGGGGCTTTGCCCAAATGAAAATGAGTTCCTTTTCAGGAATGATTATATAAAACAGTTAAATAGACAAATCGGAAGTGATTCCGGAGTTGCTCGACTTTTTAACTAAAACATTAAATTAAATGAGTCAAAAAAATAAAAAATTACAGGATAAAGTATGTTCTTTTTCATTAGTTATGACCATTTTGTTGAAGGCAATATTCTTAGAGAATTATTCTCTGGGTGGTATTAGGAAAATAAGCATAAACTAATTCTATGCCAACAGTGGTAAGAGGATGGATGCTACACTTACAGAATCTATTTGACAGAAATTGTCTCCCTGTGATTGGGTTGTTGCCAAAACGGCGAAACCACAACAATGTTAATTCTATCGAACAAATTTTGTACACTTAAAATAACTAGACAGAATAAAAGCGTTTAAAATGATTTTAAATTTCAAGGCTCAACTGGACACTCTGGCAGGCGTAGAGGGGGGCATGGGGGTCACTCGAGCCCCAATTTTTTTTTTTTCCAGTCATGTTTTCTATGGATTGAAGTATAAACTTTAATCTAAATTAAAGTTAACAATTAATTTTAAAAACATATTTCATGGGATCATCACTTTTCAACTTTTATCAAAATTTATCAAGAATTTGATTTTAAATTTTAATTCTCATCAAACAGGACAAAATTATAATAAATTTGATCTTTTTCTCCTCTCTCGCCACTCTCTCCCTTGTGCTTTTTTATTGAGGTCTTAACCCTTCTAGTTTTTCAAAAGTTATCTATAATTCTCCACAAATCATCACATCTATTACAAATCTTCACTTTTCAATCAAATTTTCAACTAATTAAAACCTATATTTGCCCTTGTTTGAAAGTCATTATTTGAAAAAAAAATAATAATAAATTTACATATTCACATAATAAAATATTTTATATATAAATTCAATTTTTTTTTAAAAATTTTTTTTAACCACACATTCTTCTAAAATGTTCAAAACATTATTTTTTAAGAATAATGGCCATCAAACAGTGCTAAATTATACCACAACATTTTCTTTTTTCTGCTTTTTGGTGAAATGACTTGATTTGCACTGCAACTAGATTTTAACTCTTTATTTTCCTTTTTCCCTTAAAGCATAAAGTTGGAACTTCTGATGAAATCATACCTCAGCCTTTTCTTTTTTCCTGCTTTTTGCTGATATGACTTCACTTGCACTGCAAATAGATTTAGCCCCTGTTTCACCAAGCTTTTTCTTTTCTTTTTCGGGAAGGCGTTGAAATTAGGAAGAATTACAGTTAAGGTTCCAAACTTTTTAAATTATATTGCAGACTATATCCAACTTTTCTTTTTTACACCTGGAGTCCCAAATCTTTCATTTTGAGAGCAGCTGGAGGACATGTGGACAAAATTCGTTCAATTTATTATAAGTTGACCAAAAGTCAATGATCAAACTACATTATCCCACATAAAATAGTTAAATAACAAATCATTTGGTCAGACTGTTGACATTTGGTCAACTAATGATCGACGGATGAATTTCATCCACATGTTTTTCAGTTGCAATAGGGATGAAAGGTTTTGAACCCCAACTGCAAAAATAAAAAAAGTTGAGTACAATCTTGTAACAATTTGAAAAGCTTGGGACCCCAACTGCAATTGTCCCTTGAAATTATGGGTTGATCTTGGTCATAAATTTTCTCTAACGAGAATGTTTGGTAACAATAAAAACACGTAATTAATAAAAATCGATAAATATTTCATTGCAAGATTACTCTCAAAACTAACAGTAATAACAATATCATTAATGCATCAAGCCGTATGCTTCCCATTAATAAGCAAATTTGTCTCGCACTGATCTAAAAGTATAAAAAACATGCTACAGGTACACTCTCTTTGATAACTTTCTTGACAGTCCTGGCACATTAAGGGGTGGGGCCAGCCATTAAAATAATCATGGACCCCACATCTTGTGAGTGTGCTGTAAATTTGTACTGTGTTTCGTGCTGTACATATATCATTTCCCAAAATATAATACCATTATTCTATTTCAGTATCAAGAAAAAAGTAAATCCCACTTTCTATTGGTCAAGAAAATTGAAATATTTCAAAAAATAAATAATTAACTGTCCTTTGATACTTATTTATAATTTTGCTATTATTGTTATCTGACGGTCAATTGAAATAGCCAACGTATTAGGTACGTATCATATGACGACTGATGGGCGCTCACAAACAGACACATTTGAGAATGAATTTTGTGAAAGTGAATTTTTTGAAAATTGCATGATTAAAATGAGAAAAATCATGAATTTACAGGTAAAATTATTTTATTATGTAAATATATAACAGAAAAAAGAAAAAAGTTTTGATTTACGGAGGCCAAGAAATATGCGACAAAAATAGAGTTTTTAAATAAGAAGACACATGTCAACATCGATTTAACAGTTTGAAAAAAAAAAAAAAAACACCAACTATCTATTGATACGTAGTCTCTGTTCCTAAATTCTGTCACTTGCCCTTGTTTGACTAGCATAATTTGGAGGCCAAACAGAGCATAATTGTTCACAATACATGGTGGAATCTTAAAGGGTGTTTGAGCCACCCCAAAAAATTGATTTTTTGACTGTTATTTCACTATTTTAGCAATAATGTTTGACTTTTTCTCTCATGGTAACTCACTTTTCTACTGACGTTCAAAAAATCAATTCTCAAAATCGCTCCTAAACGAGTCCCAATAAACACTCCAACGGCTATTTTAGCAAGAAAAGAAAAATTGAAAAACGGCTATATAGATTTATTATTGGGCTCCCTTATGTTAATCACACCTGTATTTGTCTGGTTGGTGTTATTCCTCGTCGGTCCCACACACGCATTTCCAGCTGTAAGACTTTTTCCCAGTCGAAAAAGACACCATAATCACAACCGCAACGTATTAACAAATGTTATTGTGGCCAGCGCAAAGTAGTCACATGCGAAATGGGCCCAATCCAGTCCGTTGAATCGCCACATTGGAGTGTCCTCTTTTCATGGGCCCACTCAAATGTCGAACCTTCTTTAACCTCTTACATAACAGGAACCTAATACTAATTTTATTACTTTCTTCAACAATCGTCCTTTAATATTCTGCAATTTCTTCTCTCTAGAGTGGCCATGGAATTCAAGGTGGGATTTCTAGTTGCATTGATCTGCATTGTGGTGGCTAGTGTTGGAGGCCAGTCTCCGGCGGCTTCGCCGGCCAAAGCTCCGGCAGCTGCTAAGGTTTCTACTCCCCCTGCTGCTGCACCTACGAAGCATAAATCTCCAGCTCCAGTGGCGGCTCCTACTTCGATTCCTCCGGCTTCAACTCCTGTGAGTTCTCCACCGACAGTTTCGACTCCAGCTCCTGTGAGTTCTCCACCGACAGTTTCGACTCCAGCTCCTGAAAGTTCTCCACCGACAGTTTCCACACCGGCTCCTGAAAGTTCCCCACCGACTGTTTCCACGCCGGCTCCAGTGAGCTCGCCTCCAGCTCCGGAGCCAGTCAGCTCACCACCTACGGCTGCTCCAGTCCAGTCTCCACCATCTCCGGCTCCCGAGGCGGCCACACCACCAGCTCCGGCTTCTGCGCCCCCGAGTGAGACTCCGGCTAAGGCTCCGGCTCACAGCAAGAAGAAGGGCAAGAAGCACACTTCACCTTCACCTGCTCCGGCTCCGGAGCTGTCAAGCCCACCCGCACCTCCAACCGAAGCCCCCGGACCTAGCGCCGATTCCGTCTCTCCAACTCCTACTTCACTTAACGATGAGGTACATTTCTAAATTCTATTTCCTTCATAGTTTTGGTTTTTGCTGTCCTTTATAGTGCTGAATCAGTAATGTGCATCTTGATCTGGTAATACGTGCCATTATTTTTCCATTTCTGTTTCTGTTTTACCTTGATCTATTAAATTCTTGCTAAAAACAGAGATTCAAATAAGACAATGCCTATAAAAAATTATGTAATTTGTAGTGACGAATTTTCTGGATCTGTAAGATGAACAGGATCATAGTGTTTCTGCCACGCCATTGATATTCATAAATTAAGCTTGTAGTTACATATCTAATCAAAGAATACCAGCGTTTTTGGTGGTGCTCTCTGTTAATGTGCGCACTGGTGGCACACAATAGCATAGTGACGTTAACAATTGTGTGGCAAAAGAACCATACCCCACTGACATCGTCTCAAAGGCGTTAAAGTTTCAATCGGCGCACGTTAGCATCTGTTGTCTGAATTAATTCCTGCCCTCCTTCGTTGTTATAAAAATGAATTAAGCGTGCATGTGGGTTATGGTTAGAATTTAATGTATAAATTTCCCATTTTGGTGCAGAGTGGAGCAGAGAAATTGATGGGGTTGCAGAAGCTGCTGGGAAGTTTGGTGTTGGGAGGGGCCGTGTTTGGCTGGCTCCTCTTCTAGAAAACACGATTATTTCGGAAAACTTTTGTCCCCAAACCCATCTTCATTTAACATATTTATAGTTTGTCTGTTTATATGCTTGTGAAACATCCGGGTTTGATTCGGATCCGATTGGGGATTTTAGTATTCTTTGGCATACAGTTTGAGGGGAGAGTTGTACTTTTTGTATTGACTGTCATTGTCATCTTCTGTTATTGTATTATTATTTGATTATTCATAACTCAATTATTTGATAAAAATTGAAAAAATATGGTTGAAAAATTAATAACCAGTGAGCTCGCCTCCAGCTCCGGAGCCAGTCAGCTCACCACCTACGGCTGCTCCAGTCCAGTCTCCACCATCTCCGGCTCCCAAGGCGGCCACACCACCAGCTCCGGCTTCTGCGCCCCCGAGTGAGACTCCGGCTAAGGCTCCGGCTCACAGCAAGAAGAAGGGCAAGAAGCACACTTCACCTTCACCTGCTCCGGCTCCGGAGCTGTTAAGCCCACCCGCACCTCCAACCGAAGCCCCCGGACCTAGTGCCGATTCCGTCTCTCCAACTCCTGCTTCACTTAACGATGAGGTACATTTCTAAATTCTATTTCCTTCATAGTTTTGGTTTTTGCTGTCCTTTATAGTGCTGAATCAGTAATGTGCATCCTGATCTGGTAATACGTGCCATTATTTTTCCATTTCTGTTTCTGTTTTACCTTGATCTATTAAATTCTTGCTAAAAACAGAGATTCAAATAAGAAAATGCCTATAAAAAATTATGTAATTTGTAGTGACGAATTATCTGGATCTGTAAGATGAACAGGATCATAGTGTTTCCTGCCACGCCATTGATATTCATAAATTAAGCTTGTAGTTACATATCTAATCAAAGAATACCAGCGTTTTTGGTGGTGCTCTCTGTTAATGTGCGCACTGGTGGCACACAATAGCATAGTGACGTTGACAATTGTGTGGCAAAAGAACCATACCCCACTGACACTGTCTCAAAGGCGTTAAAGTTTCAATCGGCGCACGTTAGCATCTGTTGTCTGAATTATTTCCTGCCCTCCTTCGTTGTTATAAAAATGAATTAAGCGTGGATGTGGGTTATGGTTAGAATTTAATGTATAAATTTCCCAATTTGGTGCAGAGTGGAGCAGAGAAATTGATGGGGTTGCAGAAGCTGCTGGGAAGTTTGGTGTTGGGAGGGGCCGTGTTTGGCTGGCTCCTCTTCTAGAAAACACGATTATTTTGGAAAACTTTTGTCCCCAAACCCATCTTCATTTAACATATTTATAGTTTGTCTGTTTATATGCTTGTGATACATCCGGGTTTGATTCGGATCCGATTGGGGATTTTAGTATTCTTTGGCATACAGTTTGAGGGGAGAGTTGTACTTTTTGCATTGACTGTGATTGTCATCTTCTATTATTGTATTATTATTTGATTATTCATAACTCAAAGTTTCGTCTACTCTTTTCCTTTGTTTAAAGTAGGAAGTTCTATAATTTGAAAACAAAGTTTTTGATAAAAATTGAAAAAATATGGTTGAAAAATTAATATAAAATATAATACTATGAAATATGTGCTTAAAATTGAAGTTTTATTAGTTGAAAAATTGATAAAATTTTATCAAACTAGTACTAAGCTGTTATCATGTATTCTTCACTGTATATCATTGTTTGATTCTTATTATTTTTAAAATATTATTTTATCTCTCTTATTTTCAAATATATTTTTTAATAAAATAATATTACACATAAATTCAAAATTTTTTTATTTTTTAATCCCACATTTTTGTCAAATTACTATTACCAAATGCATTTTTGACCAAAACCAAAAAAAAAAAAAAAAAAAAAAAGCGCAAATGGAGCTCATATAGGCTCTATATGTTTGTACAAACAGATAATTAATGCTGAATCCCGTGGCAACAAGGGAAGGGACAGTTTGACAAAGTTTTAGTACGATCTTGATAATGAGTCACAGAAATAAGTCGGTGAAATTTTGATAAAAATTACGGGAGCAACATTAAGGGCATTTTCGATAGTGATTATGAAAATTGATTTTTTGATTATTAAAGAGAAAAGTGAATTTCATTTGTAAGTGAAGAAGTAAAAAAGAAGGTTGGAATAATTAAATAACAGTCAAAAATTTGATTTTTCTAGGATGAAAAATTGCTATCAAACGAGGGCTAAATGTATAGTTAAAATTAAAGTCTGATCAATTGAAAGTTCGATAAAATATTAGCAAAATTTTATCGAACAAGCACTTAATATCCTTTTCTCAATATAATTAGTCATTTTATATAGTTAACAACTGATCTATACATGTTTGGGAAGTGTTTTAAAATAGATTTATTTATAAATAGATAAAAATACATAATGAATAGTACTTATAAATCTCTCATGATGTATGAATAAAAACTTCACAATGTCAATGAACCCTTTCGAGAAAAGTAGTGTTATATAACATCACTTGTTCTTAACACACTTCTGTTTAGCACAAGTAGTGTCCAGTTGATCATTGATTGTAAGATGCAATATTCATTGTCACTTATTGATACTAAGCACGATTGATACTATGTAGCATTACTCTTATGAGGAATCTTCTAGTTAGTTTAGTACTATATCCATGCCCACTTGCCTCATGGCCAACACAACTTCGCTTCTAAAACAAACTTAAACAGGCTGCATAAACAACATAAATCACAACATGCTTTGTGTGCACAAATAATACAAGAACATTTTTTTTTCCAGAGGATTGATTATTATAAAATACAAGTGGCAAAAGATTACAAAATTACACTCACACCCGTGAGTGTGTTTTGTAGCAAGATATGGCAAACAACTTATTTTATGAATAATGTTATGTGTACACCCCAAGGTGTACGCACAACCTTGCATCCCTTTATATGGAGGGGGGCTTGCACATTTTTTATTGTGTGTGGGCCTGGGTCGGCCTGAGAATTTAGATATCCTCTGCATATAATTATTATGGGGCCCTCAGTACAAAATTTATTTACAAGTCCAATGAGAGAACCGGAGCGTAGATTCTCTCAAACCAAAACCATAAGTCATTTCAAATTACTAGTAGCCGAAAAGGTAACCCAAATAGAAGACTCCATAAACCTTCACCCAATGGCCACCACAAGTCTACGTGTTACTATATCAATAAAGGCCTCCAATAATAAAGATGCATTTCAGTTTTCACAAAACACGCCTTCTCCAATTTTGTTAGCACACAACACACGCATGGACTTCTCAACAACGATTATGAGGAAGGGTTTCCATATATATGAAATGTATATATATATTGTGCTCATTAATTTCATAAAGCAACTGTGCTCCAATATTATGAAAATAAGACATTGAGATGAAATCAATAACTCGATTTATATCAAGAATGTTTAATCATAAAAAATATTATTAACATGATTAACATAAAGACTATCATTTATGAGGCAATAATCGTAAAATAATCGGCTTAATTGTCAATTGTGATAGAGTAAAAGTGAATCACAGAATCAGCAATCTATACTCTCAATGAAATGGAAACAGAAAACTATTGTAAGCAATATGTCCAAATAAATAATCCCATTAAAAATCCCTAAAAAAATTGAATTTACACTCCTTTAAAATCAATAAAATCACAATTCATATAATGGATGGAGAAAGGCCCAACCTGAGAATTTCGTCCAACCTGAGAATTAATTTTGCCTTCTGGATGACTGTATTAGAGTGTCGTCTATGAAGAATACGATTGTCGATTGGAATGGATGGACTCATGGAGAGAGGCGGCCTGTTCATTTTCCTCTTTTATGTGCATAATTTTTTTTTTTTTTTTTAAAGGAGATGGCGGTTTTAGGCCTTTTTAGAGGCCCCCTAAAATATGAGGCCCAAGGCAATGGTCTTATTTGCCTTGGGACAGGGCCGACTCTGATGCATGCCCCTTTCCATGTGAGGAGGGTATAAGACTGTGTGTAAACGATTGTGTATGCGTAACATTACCCAATATATATATGACAAACAAGATATGCAGAGTCAACAGGAGTAAAGAGGGTCTCCATTTCTCCCACTTACAGTGTGTATGGGATGTACACATTTTATATTTCTAAAAGATTCCCTCTCCCCAATCCACGCATAGGGTGAAATTACCTGCTTGATAAGTACATTTTGAATCCCAGATTGCCACTATAAATAATGCAGTGCAGTCTCATTAGGCCATCACTTCCAGTTCACAAGTCACGAAGCATATATTCTGATTAAAGCTCGTTGAAAATGAAGCTTCTTTTCTTCACTTTTTTTTTCCTTGTTTCCTTAATTCTCAGCTCTTCTTTTTATTACACTAACTGCAGCTGAACCACCCCAACCTCAAGGTCAAACCCGAGTGCTCGTAAAACCAACACGAATATGTAACAATGTTCAAAATTTGTTCTGTGCACGTATTTTTACAGAAATAACTAGGGCTTGTTCAGTAATAATTTTGAGAATTGAATTTTTTGACCGTTGAAGAGAAAAATAAGTATTACATGTGAGAGAGGAAGTAAAAAATGACCACTTGAATAGTGAAATAACGATCAAAAAATTTATTTTTTTGGGAGAACAATCAATACCAAACATGCACTAGATTACTTTTCAACCGCTTCTCTTCTCATGTAGTAACATCTTCGAGCACATACGCTTCGAGCACATACACATATAAGCAAATTGACAAAATAATAGGGGTGGGTGCTTTTAACAGCGAATAATGGACAAAAACATATGTAAGATGTCACACACTAATGTACTACGTCAAAATAAGCCAAAAACATTGTATTTCTATCATTACATTTTCCAGGCAAGGGTCACTACCAGCTAGACTAAATTCGATGACACTGTTGGCTAATAGGAGTGACCCCAGAACGCTAAGAAGTATAATGATACATACATGGCTTTAAACCTTCTACAGGAAGAATAAATACCATTTTATGGAAATAAACCCTCACAATCCTCCTCCGATCCCCTGCACGAGGACATATCAATCCCCCAAGAGGAATTCTCAAAAAGCTTACATTTTATTCATTGTGAAGCAATCATTTGAACAGAAACAGAGTCTGGAACCCCAAATCACAAAGGTTAGTTAACTGTTAGACTATCGCACATTTGACAGGCGTTCTAAAGCGCTGATCTATCAGTTTCCCGTAGTTGTCAACATATTGGTTTTTCCAAGCCACTTTGAAAAGTTAATGCCCCGTGCTACGAGGTAAACAATGAAACAGACGTATGCAGCTGTAAAGATGAATACCACAGATGTAAATATAACTCCACTCCCTTCAGCAGAGAAGAAGTCCACCAAAAGGTACCCGTTAATCACTATCACCAAAGCGGCCACAAGCCATGATATAACCTATGAGCAGAAATTCATAAAAGTTAAAAAATCATGTGTGGCTTGGCAAAGTAAGAGCTGAAATAAACAAGACTAGGCAAGGAGCAAATTTTAGAGGAAGATGCCCTGTGGTCCACCTTTATCAAACCCCTTTTATGAACAAAGAATGCAATCATAATTAACCGTGTGACTGATATGCCAGCATGATATAATAAGTTCGGTCATGTAGAATAATACAAATGCACAGATCTAATAACACTATCAAATTTTATGAAGAAGAAAAAACCTGGAGAGCAGCGCCAATTTTGAAAATGCCCATGATTTCCTCCTTCGCCACCAGGCAAAGGAGCGGAATAAGAGCAAATGGGATCTGAATTGACTGAAGCACATTAAGCCATTCATTTAGAACATCCAATGAGTCCTCAGATGTATCAAAAACAAGGGCAACTATTAGAGTCGGGATGATAGCACAGCTTCTTGTTATCAGTGCTCTCATCCACTTTTTCAACCGCAAGTTTAGAAATCCCCCCATTATAAATTGCCCCGCGTAGGTGCCAGTTATAGTGCTACTCTGTCCAGCAGCTAGTAATCCAATAGCCCAAATGTATAAGATTGGGAACAATCCACCACCATACTTCTCTTCAAGATACTGCCCAGCATTTCCAAGGCCAATGTTATTGGCTTGTTCTGTACCATAAAATGCCTTCGCAAATACTGCTGTCACAAACAGATTTATAATGAAAGAGACTGTGAGGGCAGCGCCAGACTCTATTGAGTAATAGGTGAGAGCTTCTCGAACTCTGCCTATCTTGCGGTTGTCAATTTCACGGGATTGTACAAGAGCAGAATGCAGAAATACGTTGTGAGGCATTATAATGCATCCCACAACTCCAACTGCTTGCTTTATTGTCTTGGAGCTGAGTTTTGGAACCACGACACCTACAGTAACAGTTAACATTCGTTATATTAGAGATGCTTATGGTTTCGTACTAAGTACATTGAATTTTGTAGAAAAAATAGAACTCTCACCAATTAAAAGTTCGATGCCACTGGGTTTAGTTTCACCAAACATCCACGCAAATGAGAGCGCCATAATTGCTATGAGGACTGCGAAAAGGGCTTCTAATTTTCGAACCCCATAGTTCTCCAGGAACAGAAAGATGAAGCTGCATCAAGAAAACAGAATTAGACGCCAACTATAATTCTGGACTAATCTTTATAAGATTTCCCAATATAAGCCGAAAACAAAAAGTATGTATAAACAATTCCAACTTGATTACTCTATAAGTTCAGTGCCATGAACTTCTGATGTAGAACATATTGCTGAATGTATTGAAGAAGAATTGGATCAAAATGGGAAAAAAGTAATAGTGCAGTGAGGACATCCAAAATTTGGTTTTGGCCCATAATATCATTTCAAAAAGAGGACGACGAGTAATACTCATTGCTTTGCCATGATGTATGATGGATTTTGGCCACTTGAGTTCGTTTAGGTTTCGAAAACTAAATTTTAAAGTTTAGGCATTACTTCTGTCATTTAGTTTATTTTGGATTCTTTTCAATTTTAATTTGTTTAAACTTTGTTTTCATTAATTTTAGTCATCTTAAACTAGATTTTCATGTAAACTCTTATAAATAAATGTTTATTTTGTTGTTTTGTTCATTAATAAAATTTGTGAGTTATATATTTACATAATTTGGTGGATTTCAAATTTCGTATTCTCAAAGTTTTTGCTTGAATTTCTTATTTCACGTTGTGTCAACTTCAACATTTCAAACTTGGGAAAATAGGCTAGAAAAAAGATCAACTCCACACTCGAAACATAATTCTTAGCAAAATTGAAATTTATTTTATTCTTCTTACTATTTTTAATAATCAGTAGTTTTAAATTAAATAAACAATAAAGAATCCCAATTACTTGCACCCAGAAGTTAAATGGGTTGACTAAACAAAACACTTCAGAGCAAGCAAAGCATCCAATTTCAACTCAATCCATGCACTTAATACTCCAAGATTTATTTTTTAATATTGAAAGTAAAATTTTAAATTAAATAAAACAAGAATGAGTAAAGATAAAAACAAATATTGTTAAAAATTTACCAGTCCAGAGCCGTGATGATGACACCAGCCCAAAGAGGCAAGACCCCATGGCTCAAAATCTTGATAGCAATAGCACTACCAATCACCTCTTGAATATCAGCCCCAATCAGGGCCAACTCCGTCATGATCCAAAGTAGTAGCCTGGCCCAAGTAGGATACTCCTCCCTGCACAACTCGGCAAGGTGCCGTCCAGTAGCCACGCCAAGCCGGGCCGACAGCAACTGGACCAAGAGGCCTATGACTGTGGCCCACAGTAGCAGCCAAAGTAAAGAGTAACCCGCAATTGCGCCCGACTGGAGATCCCCCTCCAGATTGCCCGGATCCAGGAAAGCTATACTCATCAAGAACCCCGGCCCGGTAAACAGCCAAAGCTTGCGCCACGAAAACGGCGGCGCTTTGGTGGAATACTCGTCGGCTTCGTTTCCTTCATCGACTCCAATTACGTGTACTTTCTCTGTGGAATCATACGCCCTCTCTTCTTCATCTTCCTCGTACAAATCAACCGATCGTTCAGCGAGTAATCGCTGTTGCTGCTCTTCCTCGTGTGAAGGCATATTTTCCTTAAAGAAAAAGGAAAATCAAGAAGTGAAGAAGGAAAAAGAGTGGAATATTGGTGAGTTTGGTTTTGGGAAAGTAGTGTGAGGAGGGAATGGAATACAGTTGATGCTTCATGGGGCTTTATCGTTAATAGCGGTCCCCGCTTTTTCCTTCAATTATTTTCTTTTTTTGATTTTGTGATTTTCTTTTTTTATTTTTCTCTCATTATTTTGGGATATGAATAATCTGATGTGAGAATTTTGCAGAATACAAAGGCACGTGAGCAAATGAAATTAAAAAAAATTAATAATAGTAATAAGTGAGGTTCTTTTGTCTGGTAATTAATTTTCATTGAATATATTTCGCGATGAAATTTGTCATGTTTTTTACATTTTTTTCAACGTAGTTTTCTTCATTTTTCATATATGAATAATTTTCTAAGTATCGGTATTTTATTAACACTCGAATGACATGACACACTCTAATAGTTGATGGGAGATGATGGATGGTTACAAAACTAATTTGCTAAGCATCACATGACGTGGCACATTTCAATAGATTGTGTAATCAATTTTGCTACTAACCATTATCTCACACTACTCATTGTAACGTGTCATATCTTCCGAGTGCTTAACATAAACAGATCATCCTATATATACATAATTTTATGTTCACAAATGTTCATTATATGAGAAGCTCTGTCATATCTCTCAATTGATGAATATCAAATTTAATTCAAATATTGAGACGCTTTTGTAAGTTTATCTTTCAACGAATTAATATTATATTATCGATGTTTAACTTCATATAAGCATCGATACTCATTAAATCATTTATTGAATGCTATTAATAACTCTACTATTGATGATAATTATTCGAAGTGGACGTTGTTTGCACCACAATATGAACACAGTTCTATTATTCGCATATTCCTTCCGTTCACGCTTCATTTAACAATATCATGGTATTAAACAAAGCAATTTTATTTTCTTACAAAATGGAAATACAAGTTTTAATGAAAAATATTATTATTTGCATTTTGGCCAATGCAAACGTGACAGGATTGTATTGTACCATTATATGCTAACGCGATTACCGATAAGAATGCCGATTAATCTAATCTAAACCTCCAAAGTATCGCCGTGGGCCCACAAAAGCATGATACATGGAACTCTTGAAAGAATGTCGAGTCATCTGAGAATTAGCAAATTAAAATCCGATGTGTGAAAATTAAATTGACACTAAGGCCCCGTTTGATTGCACGAAATTTTTCATGGAACTTGGAATTCGAATTCCAACTTTCACTTTTGGCCTGTTTGATTGACAAAATTTTTCAGGGAATTGATTTTCCATGAATTTCTAGGTACAACACCTTAAAGCGTGATTTTCCACCTTTTTTTTTTCCTAGGGGATAGGTGGTTTTTGGTTTTCCACCTTTTTTTATTTTTATTTTTTTTGCTTTTTTTTTATTTTTTTTAATTGTTGGCAATGAGAACAAATTTTAGGAATAATTGTAAAAGAGGATATCCCTGAAATTGACAATTTCCACGTAAAACAAAGTCAAACGAACATCAAAAAATAATTTTTACTTCAACATTTTCCACGTGAAAAGTTTATACAATCAAACACAATAATTTACAATTTCCATAAAAACAATTTCTAGGTAATTCAATTCCCTGAAATTCATTTTCTTTCCACCTAAATTCCATATTCGGAATCAAACAGGCCCTAATGGTGAGTGGACAGGGAAGAAATGAGTAAATTGTGGGCTCAACAAGCAAGCGTGTGTCACTGTCGAGCTAGGCCCGTGGTTGCACACGCGGCCCGAACTCCCATTTCACGACAAAGTTACGTACAAATAATGTGTCAAAGTTAAATTCCTTCCTAATTTGCCTTCTTCATGCGTGCATTCACGCTCTTACGGCGGTCATATGGGTGGGTATAACTTAGTATCCAAGTTCGAGACCCAGACCCGAACAAGCGGGTCTATTTAGTAATTAGTTCAATGGTTCGATCCATAACAATTCTTGTCCATCTTCAACTCGTACATAGTCGAATGTGGAATGGAGACTAAATGCATCCAATAAAAAATATGTGATTGAACAAATAAAATTGACGATTCAAATTATTATCACATATCAAATATTTAGTGCTAACAAAGATGATCGATAACAAACTCAAAAATGCACGAGTTATTTGAAAAATGATCAAGAGAACCGAGCACAATATAGAAATTTTTTCTTTTCTTGATGGTTATGTTGTTTAAATTATTTTGAGTTACAATTATATGATCGATATTTTGATTACTAGTTCTTCCCTATAAAAGAAGAGGCAGACAACTTCCAAATGCACTTTGTAATCATATATCTAGGACTAGATGTAGATGTCGTATTGTTGGTTCCACAATTTAATTGATTTATTCCTATTTTTAGAATATTGGATTATTTTTAAAGTCTACTCTATTTAAAAATTTTATTTTAATGTTAATATGAGATATGCGGGCAAAGCCCCAATTTGACCCCATTATCTCTTATTAAATTTTAATATATTTTTTTTCTTTTTATCAATCACACGTTTTTCAATAAAATAATATTATATGTAAATTTTAAATTTTTTACCTTCTTTCTTAACCACACATTATCAAAAAAATTGTTATTTCTCTCATTATAATGTAGAATATCGGGGCCAAATTGGCGCAAAAACATTAAAATACAGATGTAACTCATTGGAAAACAATTTTAGACTTGATCGCTTATTCATTGAATATCAATGTCACATTCACTGAAAATTAGTTTATCAAACGCCATATAATCGCAATGCATGTGATACATTGAAGATGCTCTTACATTGCAATTAACACATGAATAATACTATTCAAGGCACTGCATATCAAACACAATCTAGGTGACAGCCACGTTCTATTTAGCATTACTCATTTAACTGTTTCTTTTTTTAAATAAAAATTATTAATATTAAATACGATTTGAATTGTCACATAAACTGCCATGATAAATTGTGTCTACAAATAATATTACTTTTATCACATCTATAGTTAACCAAATGAGTAATAATCTCAGACTATTGTTAGAGTTTTCCCAAATGCTTCCTAAGAATGAAGTAAATTTCTAATAATTCTTTTCAATGACAGCCGGTGTTTCTTCAGTGATAATTTCATTTGAAATGATAAAACTAAAGAAATAAAAAAGAAAAGTGACCAGATTCAAGATCCGAACCATTATCGGTTCTCTCATTATGGTGGAAAGTGGGTTGCACGCTGCCTCAAGCGATGGTTCTTTAGGATTGACGAATGGTTCAATTTGGAGGTATCTTCCACTATTGGCTTGCGTGAAGAAAAGAATGGCCGATTTGGAATGACTGTTGTTTCAGAGAATCAAATTTGAAAATTGAAATGTTTGGAATTTTCTCCCTCGCACCTATAATTTAAAAATGTTATCATTCAGGTAGCTTATTTTTTTTTCTACGCCATGTCGACATGATTACGCATAGGAAAAGAAGCAATTGACAGGTAACAGATTTGTGACTAATATTTCAAAATGTCTTTTTCTAATGTTGAAATAAAAATGATCTTTGATTTCAAATAGTTTAAAACAGTTGTTTTGTATAATTACTGGAATATTTTCCCTTTTCTTTTAACTATTTTATGAGCTATGTTTAATTTGGTATAACCAAAATTTTCGATCGATATGTCCATAGAGAATATCATGTGCCAAGCCAGCAACATCAAGAAGAATAACGCAGAAACAAATTTTAAGTTGGCTAGCCTGCCAATTTGACAAAAATACATTAAATTTCACTACAGTGTAAGAGACAAATATTACATTTTAAGCAAATTACGTGGAGAAAATTAGCGCAGCTAAGTATTAAAAGATAGAAAAGTTAAGGGGCTGTTTGGGCCCGATTTTTTCACCCAAAAAATTGATTTTTTGACCGTTATTTCACTATTTCAGCCGTCATATTTGACTTCTTCTCTCATAGGTGGATCCCATTTTTCTCCTAACGGTCAAAAAATCAATTCTCAAAATCACTTCCAAACAGCCTCTAAATAAATTAATCGTCGTCCTTGTCAAGAAAAGAATGCATGTCATTGTAATATTTTATTACGTACAAACAGCTGCATTACTATCTAAGGGTATGTTTGATTGGCAAATCTTTTCCACTTTCCCACTTTCAAATGTTTGATATGATTTTTTTTTTGCCATGGAATTCAAGTTCCATGTTTTCTTGGACTTTGGTCTTTTCTACCTTTTTAGGGTGGGAATTGGTTTTCTCGGTTACTGTAGCATATATGTATTTTTTTCTTTTTCTTTTTTGTTGGCAAAGTTAACAAATTTTAAGAATTATTTTAAAAAAATATTTTCCTTTAATTGACAATTTTCATATAAAACAAAGTCAAACGAATACCAAAAGATAGATGATTTTCTTGAATTTTTTATTTTTTTAGCAATGGAAACAAATTTCATCTCCAACACCAGTAAATTATATCCCTTTAATTGAAAATTTTCATATACAATAAAGTCAAATAAATATAAAAAAAACACTTCTATTTCAACATTTTCCACGTGAAAATTTATATTAATCAAACACAATAATTTACAATTCTCAGGAAAATAATTTTTAGGCAATTCAATTTTCTGAAATTCGTTTTCAATTCAATTCAATTCCATCTTTGTAATCAAACGGACCATAATAATACATTTTGAAACCATAGTATCATAGTATAAGAAACAGAGAAAATTTGCGAATTTGTGTGATATTGTTTAATGGTGAAGTGGAGATGCCTTATCTATTTATATTAAAGGTGGAGCCACAGTTGATGGATGGAGATGGTTAGTGGCAGTGGCTTGTAACTAGAGAGAAGTACAATCCAAGTATTCTAGTTCACAAACAAAAGCTAAATATAGGGCATACAAACAAAGAGTTTGACTCTTAGGATTGCAAATTTTTCTAACAAATCGTTCAGTCTGTAGTACAATTTCTGGTGCTAAAGATTCTCGAGAGAGGCAATAGGGGAGCATACTTTTGTTACTGCTCAAATTGTTGGTTTACCAAGACTATTTAAAACTAGTATCGGTATTTTGAATTCCAGTGAGAAACAGAGAAAATTTA